CTGCCTGATGCCCTGAGCAGGTCCGGGCCAGCACTGTGGTTGTCCTGTGTCCTGTACTGCCCTCTGGTCCCGCAGGAAGGAGAGGAGGGGGTCTTTGTCTCGTCTGTGACTGTTCTCAAGGTTCCTTATGTGCTGGACACTGTGGTGGGCCAGGGGGTGTCCACTGCTAATAGTCATTCTGATGTACATTGTTTGCTAATCTCAGGGGATTGGAGAATTTTCTGAGCGTGACTGGAGTGTCTGTTTTCTCAGATTTCTGGGGTGTTGGGTACTTGTGTGGTCTGCCCTGGTAGCATGAGTGTTCGTTACCATTCTGTGAAAAGAGATTGAAAAATGGTCAGAGGAGACTTTTCTGTTGCGATATGTGAGTTTGAATATAAAAATTATAAAATATAAATTTGTGTGTCAAGTTTTCGAAATAAAAGGGTATGTATGTAGCACTTTGAATTGTTTTTATATTTGTATTTTAAAAAATTTATGTTTCTCTTGTTTAGTTGTCCTATTTTTAGGCACAATATTCTTAGCTATCTTGTGGGCTTCTGAGATAACTGGACTAAGTAATTTCTTTTGTTCAACTTTCAAAGTCCCATTGAGAAAAGGAGCATTTGTGTGATTGCATTGAAAAGAGTGCTCTTCTATTTTTGTTCACCTCTACACACTGTGGCTGTTTGAGAATTCAAATCTGAAACATACAATAGTGATAGAAGTTTCTTTTCTTTATGTCTAATTAAATTGTTTTCACTCATGAGTGGGGGGCGTGGGGGCAGTGGGGGGATAAGGACATATATGTAATACCTTAATCAATAAAGAAATTTAAAAATTTGTTTTTAAATTTAGACTGTAATGTTAGCAATACTATGCAGTTAAGTATTAAACGACTTTTAATTAAGCTATCAAGTGTTCCTTGTGGACTAAGACTGGTAAACAGTCCTCCAGTTGTTAAATATGTAGTGCATTTCTTTCTTTTATTTTTTTATCCTCACCCAAGGAAGAAAGAAACATTGATACATCGATTGGCTGCCTCCTGTACGTGCACCGACCAGGGATGGGACCTGCATTTGGTAGATGGGACGACTTGCACTAACTGAGCCACTTGGCCAGGGCTGGTGCATTTCTTCCTGGTGAACAGGCCATGGACTTAGGAGTCAGCCATTTTCCAGCCCTAAACTATTGCTTACTGTCTCTGAGATTGTATCTACTGCATCAGTGTAGAAATAACACCGTCTGCACTGGCCAGTGTAGCTCATTAGTGTGTCATTCCTTGCACCAAAGGATTGTGGGTTCAATTGCCAGTCAAGACACATACCCAGGTTTTGGGTTCAATGCCCAGTTAGGGCATATATGGGAGGCAGCCGATCTCTCTCTCTCTCTCTCTCTCTCTCTCTCTCTCTCTCTCTCTCTCTCAATGAAAGACATATCCTTGGGTGAAAATAAAATAAAAAAGAAGGAAGTAGGTATTATTTCCTACGTACTTTGTGCTGTGAAATGTTACTGGTTCTTTGGAGAAATTGGTTCATTAGCAGATATGTCTGGAATTGGCAGCCCGCTCTCCTCTCGGAGGCTCTCGCTGTGTGTTAAGTGGCTCTGAGAACCACTTTGGTCAAGAAATCTGCTTTGCTTAAGTTCTTTCTCATTTCCCAAACAGAACTTCTCCTTTCTTCCTTTCCCCTCCTCTGCTTCCCCTGTGGAATACCTGCAACATATTTTAGTTCATTTCATTATTATTTTTTTCAATCTTCACCTGACGATATGTTTTTATTGATTTTTAGAGAGAGGAATGGAGAGAGATGGGGAGAGAAAACATTGATGTGAGAGAGGAAAACTATTGGTTGCCTCCCCCACACGCCCTGCCTGGAAATTGAACCGTAACCTTTTGGTGTATGGGATGATGTTCCAAGCAAGCAATCCCCGGCCAGGGCTATTTTAGTTTCATTGAACTTGGTTTTGAGAATAAAGTTCCTAAGAGAGTGCTCCTAATTCATACTTGAAAATGATAGTTTACTTTTCTTCCCTCTTAGTATTAATTTTAATGGTTTAAAAACTGTAAATTCAGAGCCTATTTTAATTTTAGTTTAACCTTCTAAGGAGGTAAGCCATTTTTTCTTTCAGTTTTATTGAGATACTAGAGGCCCAGTGCACAAATTCATGTACGGGTGGGGTCCCTCGGCCTGGCTGGCGATCGGGGCCAATTGGGGTATTGGGGGCCGGCCGGCCGAGGAGTGTCTGGCAGTCCCAATCAGCCAGACCCCAGCAGCAAGCTAACCTACCGGTCGGAGCGTCTGCCCCCTAGTGGTCAGTGTGCGTCATAGAGACTGGTTGAGCGGTTGACCAGTCAACCGATTGGTCGGACACTTAGCATATTATGCTTTTATTATCTCTATATATAAAAGCCTAAGTGACCATCACAACTGAACGGATGACTGAACAGGCTGTGTGGGGCAACCAGGCCGGCAGGGAGGTTAGTGAGGGGACGACCTAACGACTGAGCAGCAGGCTGCAAAGATGGCAGCGCCCACAGCCAATAAAGAGGGAATATGCTAACTGACTGCCACACCCTCAAAGATGGCAGCGCCCACAGCCAATAAGGAGGGAATATGCTAATTGACTGTCACACCCTCAAAGATGGTGGCACCCAAGCCAATAAGGAAGGAATATGCTAATTGACTGCCATGCCCTCAAAGATGGCGGTGCCCAGTCCCCTCAGCCCCCCAGCCGCCCAGGGCTGCTCGAGGCTCAGGTAACCAGGGCCGGCCGAGGCTTGCGCTGCCGGCAGGGGCAGCAGCAGAGGTGTGATGGGGCGTCACCTTCCCCTGATTGCCTGGTCACCTCCCACCCCTGAGGGCTCCCGGACTGTGAGAGGGGGCAGGCCGGGCTGAGGGACCCCCCTCCAGTGCATGAATTTTCATGCACCAGGCCTCTAGTATAGGATAATTGACATACAACATTGTGCAAGTTTAAGGTGTAATAGCTTAATGACTTAACATGTGTGTATATTGCAAAATGATTACCACAGTGTGTTTTGTTAACACCCACCCTTCCATTAAATAATTTCCTATTTTCATTTATAATTTACTATCTTTTAGTTCATATTTTTTTACCCAAAATATTGTTACAGACTTTGATATTAAAATCCAAGGAAAGCAAGTACAGTGGTATGAGAGTAAGAACCTTAGAAAATGTGTCTACTCAAATTTTTGCTTCATTAATTCAACACAATTTAAGTATTTATATTCATTGTATTTCTTGAAGTATTACTCCTAGCCCTGTGAAAGTTACAGATGGATTAAAAGAATTGGTTTAGGTACTTCCTGCACCTGCTTTGAGCTGCTCAAAAGTAGGCACAAACCATCTATGTCTTCTTTTTAAAATTTGTTATTGAATTTATAGGGGTGACATTGGTTAATAAAATTATAGGTTTCAGGTGTACAATTCTATAATACATAATCTGTATATTGTATTGTGTGTTCACCATCCAAAGTTGTTTCCTTTTGTAACCATTTATCCCCCCTTTACATTCTCCTATCCCCCTCCATCCCCACCCCTCTTTCCACCATACTGTGGTCTATGTCTATGAGTTGTTGTTTTGTTTCTTTTTGTTAGTTTGTGGGGTTTTTTCCATAATCCCTTCACCATTTTCATCCACTGTCCTCTGATAGCTGTCAGTCTGTTCTCTGTACTTCTCTGTCTTAGTGATTTATAAGAATTTTGCAGATTTAAAAAAGGAAAACAAATTTAAAAAGGGAAAATAGCATCTTTGCAATAAAGAAGTGGTAAATGCTAAGAGAGTATAAAATAGAAAAGTATTATGTTTGTTTCAGAAAAATATTGAAAAAGATACAGAGAATAAAATATAGATGAAGAGTGAAAGCAATTTTATATCAAGCTGTTTGTTGCTAACATCCTCCTCCTAGACTTTTTTTTGTTTGTTTCACAAAAATGCTATATTATACATGCTACTTTGTAGCCTCCTTATTTTACTTACAAATGCAAAGTGAAGGTCTTTTTATGCCAGATGTCTGTGAAGGACCCTTCCCTCCCCAAAAGTCTACCTTAACATGGTACAGCATCCCTCCCTCTCTAACCTATTTCCAAGGCAGGAGTTTGAAGTTGGAGGAAGAAGGGCGAGAGGAGCAAGCTATGTTGGAGAGTGAATTGCACCAGTGGGGTCCCTCAGCCTGGTCTACGCTGAAGCCGGCTCTTTGACATTTCCCAAAGGGTCCCGGATTGCGAGAGAGTGCAGGCCAGGCCAAGGGACCCCACTGGTGCATGAATTTGTGCACTGGGCCTCTAGTGCACAGTCGAGGCTGGGAAGGGATGCAGGAGGTTGGCCACCCGGGGGGGGGGGGCGGTTGGGGTTGCGTGGGAGGGTTCCAGGGTGTGTCCTGATCAGCCAGACGCCAGCAGTAAGCTAACCATTCGGTTGGAGCATCTGCCCCCTGGTGATCAGTTCACATCATAGTGACCAGTCGACTGTCTGTCTCCTGGTGGTCAGTGCACATCATAGCAAGTGGTTGAGCGGCCTTAGCATATTATTAGCATATTACGCTTTGATTGGTTGAACGAATGACCGGACACTTAGCATATTAGGCTTTTATTATATAGGACTCCTTGTTAGTGTATGCAGAATTATGCAGGATACCCAGCCTTTATTTTGGTGAGTTATATTGTACTGACCTAACAAGATTGGTGTTTAACTTATAAGGTTGTTTGGAAATGTCAGGAGCTAGTGTGCATATTATTTACACCTAGACTTAAATATAAAACCTTAAGTAAGTGTTATGAAGTGCTGGGTGGTTTATTGCCTTTCTAATTAACTTAGTAGAAAGGCAAAGGACACTTTTCTTTTGATGAAAATTCTTGAAAAATATTACACTATTAAATATATTTTAATCTGATTTTATTATTTACAGCTTTCTTTAATGGTATCAAGAACTGACAAAGGAAGAGATGATATTCTGTTACTATTTTTCTGAAATTATTATTCTTTTTTTAAATAAAAGGTGGCTATCATCCAGTGAAAATTGGAGACCTTTTCAATGGCCGGTATCATGTTATTAGGAAGCTAGGATGGGGACACTTCTCTACTGTCTGGCTGTGCTGGGATATGCAGTAAGTATTCTTTGTCATTTGTTATCTTGATTCCTGGCGTATTCGTCATCTTTATTTTATTACAAGCTATGGCTGAGGGGCACAGCTGCTTGTATTGTGCAGTGTGAAGTGCTTAGCGCAGGCCTGCCCTGCCCTAGCTAAACATTTCCCCCCTCAGTTTGAAGTTCATTTTCCTGTTATCTTAAAATATTAACTTTCCTCTGCTTTTATATCTGAGGCTTATTCATTGAAATTATAGCAGGATCATATTTTTTTCCAAAACTTTATCCATACCAAAATACCCCACAACTCATTTACATATAAATTAACATATAGACCTTCCAAATCAGTGGTTTCTGATTCCTTTTTAAAGCTATGACCTATAGCATGAAACACCATTGCAACCCAATATAAATATGCATTTGTTTTTTGTTTGTTTGTGTGTGTGTGTGTGTGTGTATGTGAAGTGAAACTAGTGTTACAAGATACTTACTCTCATTATATGTGGTGAATGACATTTTCTAGTTTACCTCATTTTATGAGGAAAAAAACAGAAACAATTATAAGGGATTATTCTGCTGCTGAATTATTGATCCACAATTTGAAAAGCACTGTTTTAAAGGAAAGCTTATTAAAACTTTGTATATATTGGGTAAATTTCATTATAATGATCACTTCTGCTTATATTTTTTAAATTTGCATTTTCCAAAGGGGGAAAAGATTTGTTGCAATGAAAGTTGTAAAAAGTGCCCAGCATTATACGGAGACAGCCTTGGATGAAATAAAATTGCTCAAATGTGTAAGTACTGTAAAATCTTGAATGATAGAAGACAAATTAATAACTTAAAATTTTACAAAGGGATTTTTTCTGGGTTTTACGAAATTAAAATTGATTTTATGTTTTATAAGTTCAAATACTGAATCTTTTGTTTTAAAAAACACATCACTTATATTAAAACCATTTTGGTTGGTATAATGGAAATTATTTTCAGTCATAAACACTTTTGTTCTTGACTTATTTTTTTTTCCATAGGTTCGAGAAAGTGATCCCAGTGACCCAAATAAAGACATGGTAGTACAGTTAATTGATGACTTCAAGATTTCAGGCATGAATGGAATCCATATCCTTTCTGACACTGCTGTTGCTTCCTAATGGCTGAATTATACTGTAGTCTTTCTTATTGCTTTTGAAAAATTGGAATGTGTAAACCCGCTTAAACTTGTGCTTGCTCTGCTTTGTGATTCTCCGCATAAAGCCTCTCATATAATCCCGGAGGGTTGGAAAGTGATATGTCTGGAGTGCTCTTCTAGGGCTTTTGGGGGTTTTGGTGTAGTAACATTTTTTAAAATAATTTTACATCACTTGACTTGATTCTTGCATGGAATTATTAATCTTTTTTTAATAATTCTAGTGAACTTTATTTTTACAGTGGTAGGTGGAAGCATATACCAGCATTTCTTTTTGCTTGAAACTGTAAAAAATTCCATACACAAGGGCTAGGTATCCTTCATTAGCTGCAAAGAATTCATTGAGGCACTAGAAGGAAAAATGCTCTGCTAATGTCAACATAGCAAAGTCACACCTGATCCTGCATAGTCTCATCTTTCTGCCAGGTAAATAGGGAAATACATTGGTTTTGTTTAGTTTAGTTTGTCTTCTTTGGAAAAGTCTGGTGAAAGTCAAGTTGTTACCAGATAGGGGACCAGCCTGGAGCAGGTCTGCCTCGGGCCGACCTGTAGTGTGCGTTCTTGATTTCCTTCAGGAAAGATTTCACAACACAAGTGTGAGTGATTTTTGAGAAGACATTTATTAAAGGTGGGGACAGTGAAACAAGGAAGGGCTTAGCATAGGAGAAGCAACAGGGGAGCCTGGGTGGGGCTGCTTTGGCTCTCTAGCAACATAATAGGAAAGAAATGAACCTAGATGGGGTGGCTTTGGCTCACTGGAAAGTCAGAGCAAACAGGGCCTAGGAAAGAGGTTCAGGAGGTTAGCCCAGGACAGCTGCTGCTCCCCTGGTTGCAAGTCTCATGAGGACCCTTAGAGTTTAGAAGATGCACACTGTGGGGCAAGAAAGGGCATAAGCCTGCTCCTGGGAGGGAGAGCGAGGCCTGGGTCCTTTGTCTTGAGAGTGTTAAAGGCTGGGTGTTTAGGGGAGGTCTTAGGAGGCTCTCAATACAATAATCAGTTTTATGCTGATGCTCCAGAATTAGATTCATTCCCTTCATCTGTCCCTGGTCGAGCTCCCAGTTGAACTCCCAGTCGAACTCCTGGTCAAGGGGACAATTTACATATTAGCCTTTTATTATATAGGATAGGGAGAAATTACAGGATATGTAGGGTTTGGTACTGTATGCAGTTTCAAGCATCCACTAGGTGTCTTGGAACATATCTCCGGATAAAAGGGACTACTGTGTCTTTATTTCTCGGGGTTCAGGAATATTTGGGCACTGCTCAGTACCCTGTGACTTATGATTGCCAGGGTGTGTCAGAGCCAGGGTTCTCCTTCCCCATCTTTAGCTGTTTGCTTTATATCATCTTTGGAACAGATCCAACATTTTGATACTTGTTCTGCTCAAGCTCCAGAAGCCTGAGGACAAAGTTAAATTTCAGCTCAAATCCCAGCATAACATCCTGTTCATTCACTCACTAAGTCTTCATTTCGTAGGGAAGCACTCCGCTCATACTCTATATTTTTGAGGTTTTTATACAGGCATACCTCAGAGAAATTGCTGGTTCAGTTCCAGATCACCACATAATCTTTTTGTTAGCGGAGGAAGAGTCTTGCCTTCAATTTATAAAAAAGTGGAACATCTATGAAGTGCAGTAATATAGGTATGATTGTATTTCCTCTAGAGTGGATTTGCAGGTACTAGCACGCACCCTTGACTGCTAAAGCCACCTCTCTGTTTCTCTCAGTATCATTTCTGCTAATTGCTGAGTGCATTTTCCCTCGTGATAGATAGGAAGGTAGAGCTGGTCCTGACCTGCTCCTGTTCTCCAAATGACTGATGGTTTATGGGCAGGCAGGGCAGCCCCTCCTACATCAGATCTGCGTGGCAGTTCCTGGGACAGCTGACAGGCAGATGGTTTCTTTGGAGAAACCGGCTGATTTGTAGGTAAATGGAGTTTTTAAAAATACTACATATACATTCTAGTGACTATTTTTACTGTTAAATGGTAAGAAGCCATCATAGTTTAGATTTGTCAGTGATGTAGAAATCATTATGTAGAGATCTGGGTGTTGCTTTGTGTGTTCATAAGTACAGTTTTTGATTTTTTGTAATATACCTAGGAAACTGGTTTTACATTATCTACGCATAAATCTATAGCTCACATGTTCTCCAACACTGTAGAAACTTTTTTCTTAATATTTAAAGCAGTAGTTATTGTGATGATGTGGTAGATGCAGATATTGTAAAATATATTAAACTAGAGGCCCAGTGCACAAAAATTTGTGCACTTGCGGGGGGGTCCCTCAGCCTGGCCTGCGCCCATTCACAGTACAGGACCCCTTGGGGGATGTCCACCTGTCAACTTAGGCTCACTTCCCGGGGGATCAGGCCTAAGCTTGCAGTCAAACATCCTTCTGGCAGCCAGGGAGCCCTCAGGGGATGTCCGACTTAAAGGCTTAGGCCCCCAAGGGATCGGGTCTAAACCGTTAGTTGGACATTCTTAGTGCTGCCACAGAGGTGGGAGAGGCTCCTGCCACCACCACTGCGCTGGCCAGCCATGAGCCAGCTTCTGGCTGAGTGGCACTCCCCATATGTAAGTACACTGACCACCAGAGGGCAGCTCCTGCATTGAGCGTCTGCCCCCTGGTGGCCAGTGCGCATCATAGCAACTGGTCATTCTGCCGTTCAGTCAATGTGCATATTAGCCTTTTATTATTATTATATAAGATCAGCCCTAGCCGGTTTGGCTTAGTGGATAGAGCGTCGGCCTGCTAACTGAAAGGTCCCAGGTTCGATTCTGGTCAAGGGCATATGCCCAGGTTTCGGACTCCATCCCCAGTAGGGGGCTTGCAGGAGGCAGCCGATCCATGTTTCTCTCTCATCATAGATGTTTCTATCTCTCTCTCCCTCTTCCTTCCTCTCTGAGATCAATAAAAATATACTAATATTTATTTATTTATTTATTTATTTATTTATTTATTTATTTATTTATTTTAAATCAACTAACCTGTCTATAGGCCTCCAGGGGTGAATGAAGTATTCTTGGATGCTGTCAGAGTCATTTTAAATCTTCCAGTAGGAATGACATAAATATATTTATATGATGGGCCATCGTTCTGGAGTGTTGGTGTTTGACTAGAATGTCTGTTTTTTTTTAAAAAACCACCCAGATTCCTGAGACTTCATTATTATAGGTTGGTCTTAATGCCATGTCTTATATTGTGATCATATATTCTTGAAAACTGCCTACAATATTAAAATTGATCTATTTACACATTTGAAGATATTGAAGGAAAAGATTAAATATCTTGACTGAGTTTGTTTAATTTCCATTTTATAAAGTGTTTTATGTAACCCATGAAATAGAAATTTAGGCAGGCAGATAGGACACTTAAGACAGGGGAGGTCTTTACTTTTTTCTTGTTAATTGCTCATGAGGTTCTAGTCTTGCTCATTTTCATTAAGACTGATCATCAAGGAGAAGTGTGCTGAAATGAGTGAGAGCACAGGTAAGTGTGGGATTGAGTCCTGACACTGCCACCTTTGGACTGTAATGCAGGATAGTTCTTTAACTGGCTCTCCTCGTTTCTGTGTGGGGATACATATATTATTTTCTAAGGTTGTTACATGTACACATTAATAATCTGTGGGACTTAGTAAGTACTTAGTAAATGTTCCATCATTTTATTTAGGTGAGAAATAGGAAAGGACCACTTGGGTATTATTGATAGTACTAGAGGCCTGATGCACAAAATTCATGCACTTGGGGTGGGGGTGGTCCCTCAGCCCGGCCTGCGCCCTCTCACAGTCCAGGGGCCCTAGGGGGATGTCTGACTGACGGCTTAGCGTTGCTGGGGAGGCAGGAGAGGCTCCCGCCACCGCCGCTGCGCTCACCAGCTGTGAGCCCGGCTCAGGGCTTCTGGCTGAGCGGCGCTTCCCCTGTGGGAGTGAAGTGACCACCGGGGGCAGCTCCTGCATTGAGTGTCTGCCCCCTGGTGGTCAGTGTGCATCATAGTGACTGGTTGTTTTGCCATTCAGTCGATCTGCATATTAGCCTTTTATTATATAGGATTGTTGCATGTTTTGAAGAAGTAAATGTTTTGCCATGTGCCACAATGCTGCTGCTTTTAGTAATTGCATCACTTCAGGAAATGTATCCACAAGTGATCCTTAACCATGTCCCAGATGTCTGCATGGTCTTCGAAGTGCTTGGCCACCATCTCCTCAAATGGATCATTAAGTCCAACTATCAAGGCCTTCCTTTACGTTGTGTGAAGAGTATCATTCGACAGGTGAGGCTTATGGGGCAGCCCCCACACCCTAATGCCTAACTGGCTAGGCTTTCAACATAAATTACTATTTTGTTTTGTTCTTTAAAAAAAACACAAACATATACATACATGTTTCTTGATATATACTAGGTGTACTGGTTAATAAGGTGGATTTTTTTCAATAGATGGAGTTACACATATGTTGATATATATGCTATTTCATATGTATGCTGTTTTATTGTATTGACAATAAGCTTCAAAACTTCATATATCAAATTTGCTAAAGGTGTTAACATCATGGATATTTTTACGCTTAAAAATGTTGAATTTCGTGCCAAAAAAAAGAGCATTTGCAGGAAGTTTTAATTCATTACTTTATTTTGAAGAAAAGTGCTTCTGAATACTTTGTGAAGCTTATGGTGAAGATGCTCCATCTCAAGATACTTGTCAATGCTGGTTTAAACCCTTTAAAAGTCATGATTTCGGTGTGAAAGACAAAGAACGTTCAGGTCAACTCTAAAAGTTTGAAGACCAACAATTGCAAGCATTATTGGATGAAGATGTGTGTCAAACTCAAAAACAACTTGCAGAAATATTAAACGTTGCTCAGCAAACAATTTCTGATCATTTACAAGCAATGGGAAAGATTTTAAAGGAAGGAAAATGGGTGCCACATCAACTGAACGAAAGACAAATGGAAAACCGAAAAGTCATCAGTAAAATGTTGCTTCAATGGCACAAAAGAAAGTCTTTTTTGCATCGAATTGTGACTGGCAGTGAAAAGTGGATTTATTTTGAGAATCCCAAATGCACAAAATCATGGGTTGATCCAGGTCAACCATCAACATTGACTGCAATTCCACATTGCTTTGGAAAAAAGACAATACTCTGCGTTTGGTGGGATCACGAATGTGTGGTGTATTATGAGCTAAAACCAGGTGAAACCATTAATACTGATCACTACCTACAACAAATAATCAATTTGAACCACGCTTTGATCGTGAAATGACCAGAATGGGCCAGAAGACACGGCAAAGTAATTTTTCTTCATGATGATGCACCATCACACACTTCAAAACCAGTTAAAGACACGTGAAAAGATCTTGCCTGGTAAGCATTAACCCACCCGCCGTATTCACCAGACCTTGCTCCTTCAGATTACCGCTTGTTCCGAACATGCACTTTCTGAGCAGCACTTCAAAACATACGAAGAAGTGGAAAATTGGGTCTCTGAATGGTTTGCCTGAAAACAAGAAAAGTTCTATTGGGACGGTATCCACAAATTACCTGAAAGATGGGGAAATGTGTAGCTAGCGATGGACATTACTTTGAATAAAGCACTTTTGATGTTTCTCTTGAAATTACCGTGTTTTCTTTAATTACAAAATCCGCATTATTAACCGGTACACCTAGTATATAATTTTTGTTTTTAAAGCGTATGCATATGTTACAATGTATAATAACTTGAACATTTTAAGTCAGTTTTATATTTAATACTATGCCATTCTGTTTCTTAAGGGAGCAATATGTAAATATCAGGCATACATTTCTTTGGGCATATTGAACTTTTTAAAGTAATGATATGGTATAGTGAAAATTTGTTTTATCTAATATTATTATTATAAAATGTCCCCCTTTGTTTCTCAGAAAATAATTCAAAAGAAATAATTTGTGTTTATTTGCTATTTTTAGGTATTAGATGAAGGGTAAATGAACGATATAATGAATGTTTCTTATATAGGGAGTATTGTATTAGAATTATGCTTTGTTCAGTTGTCTTGACAAAAGAAAATGGGTCTGGCCCTAACCGGTTTGGCTCAGTGGATAGAGCGTCGGCCTGCGGACTGAAAGGTCCCAGGTTCGATTCCAGTCAAGGGCATGTACCTTGGTTGCGGGCACATCCCCAGTAGGAGGTGTGCAGGAGGCAGCTGATCAATGTGTCTCTCTTGTCAATGTTTCTAACTCTCTATCCCTCTCTCTTCCTCTCTGTAAAAAATCAATAAAATATATTTTAAAAAAAGAAAATGGGTCTGGGTCTGGTTTGGTGATCATGTGGTAGCAATTATTTATAAAATGAAAGTATACCTACATGAAAGATCTCTTTCTGATTAGAAATGTTTACCGGATTTCATTTTCTGCACGGAATATATTGCTCTGTATCCCGCTATTCCCTCACAGCCTAAGTTAGGAATGTTGCAGATATGACTTATTCTGGGTTACCTATTCTGATAGAATGACTGTGGGTACTTCTTCAGAGTAATTTATATATCAAGGAGATTATTTGGTTTTCTTGCGACGAAGACTGAGTGCTTGGGAGCCTTGCCCTTTCCCCTGGTCCAGATCTTGAACTAGATTTGCCTGAGGGTTGCAGACCTGAAATATAGGCTGTGGTCCAGAATTCTTAAATAGGAAATAATCAGGGAATTGAAGAATTGTACATCCTAGAGATTGGGGCCTGAAAAAGAACCTTCCTACCAATTGTACATAATAATTGCATACATGCAAATCAGTAGGTTCTAAAACCATTTCATAAAAAATTTGATGTTTATAATTGTTAGATTTTTCCTTTCAAATTGTGTGTAGTTAACTTAGTTTATTCAGCCTGTGTATTTATCTCTTCTTTTCTCTTCATCCTCTTATGGTGCAAATCGACAGCTCATCTTCTAATATTATAGACCAACCCAGCCACCATGGCTCAGTGGTTGAGCATTGACTTGTGAACCAGGAGGTCACGGTTTGATTACCGGTCAGGGCATGTGCCCAAGTTGTGGGCTCGATCCCCAGTGTGGGGCATACAGGAGGCAGCCAATCAATGATCCTCTCTCATCATTGCTATTTCTGTCTCTCTCTCCTTCTCCCTTCCTTTCTGAAATCAATAAAAAATATTTTAAAAACATATTATAGATGTTATTTTAGGAGATAGGTTGGTAAGAGAAGGGCTTTCTATAGTGTCTTACACATGAGATACTATATTTTTACATAGTATTATGTTAGATATGCATATGTACCATGTATGGGTTTCTGGCTAGCTTTTATTTAATAATATATTCTCTTTTAGGTTTTGGATAGTAGCATTTTAACTCATTATTTTAACATGGTTAATTTCTCATGTGAAAAGACAATGCTATTCTTTAGAAGATAGGTGATGAGGGGGAAAATTAATACGTTCATTGGAGTTATTTTATTCCCAAATGCTGCTTCAGTATATATATCTTAATTATCTCTGCTAAATCCTGAAAATATAAAATGACTTACATATTATAACAAAAAGTAAATAATTTCAGAAATACCATTTTGCCTATATTTTATACAGGTTCTGTCATTCCCTTGAACCCCACACTTTCAAAGATGTAGGCTGTTGCCATTGTTAACTGACCATGTCAATACTCAGGCTTGGCCATGTAAGAAAGGGCATTAGCAGATGAACCATTGACATTTATTTTGTATTTCAGAATGGGAAAACAAAATCTAGCCTTTCGTAGCAAGTAAAAGAGTCTGTAAATCTAAAGATGAAATCTAGCAATTTAATTGAACTTTAATGCATACTTGATGATTGAAGAAATGATCTTCCGAGTGTATTATCCTCTTGTTACACACATACACTGAGCTTTGGAAATTAAAGAGCTCTTGTGTTTTATTGTTTTAGGAAAATTTCAAGATGAAATCCTGATTTCATATGGTCTGCACTTTGTTCTTTTAGGCTTTGTGAGTAGAAGTTTCGTTTTAGTGTAAAACCCGTCTTTAAGTTTATTTAAGAAAAATGTTATCATGGAATCTGGATTTTTTCTCCCCTAAACTTTTAACTTTTAAAAGTAATAGGTTATTATATATCCCAGTTAGTAGCCTATGTACCTGAGTTTCCCTTCACCCTCTGAGTCAGCATATGAGTTTAGTATTTTTGACTTGTAAATAGTACTGGGAAGATCCTTTATTAACAGACCTGCATAGTTACATCCCTCCCCAAACAAGACAAGGCAGGGCCAGCTTTCTAATACTCTTGCCATGTGTCCTCCTTCACCTTCATGGTCAGGCATAGCTCACCTCGTTTCAGTCATCCCTGTGGCTCTGCCACTTGCCATCCTTCACCGGTCACCTGGCCTGTGGTCCCTCCTGTGCGTGTCTTTTTTTTTTTTTTTTTTTTAATCTTTATTGTTCAGATTATTACATTAGTTACTCTTTTTTCCCACCATAACTCCCCTCCACCCAGTTCCAACCCCACCCTCTGCCCTCACTCCCCACCCACTGTCCTCATCCATAGGTGCACGATTGTTGTCTAATCTCTTCACTCACCCCCACACACCTTTCTCTCCCCCCCCCCCCCAAGAATAGTCAGTCCATTCCCTTTCTATGTCCCTGATTCTATTACAATCACCAGTTCATCAGATTATTTATTCACTTGATTTTTAGATTCACTTGTTGATAGATGTGTATTTGTTGTTCATAATTTGTATCTTTACCTTTTTCTTCTTCCTCTTCTTACAGGATACCTTTCAGCATTTCATATAATACTGGTTTGGTGGTGATGAACTCCTTTAGCTTTTTCTTATCTGTGAAGCTCTTTATCTGGCCTTCACTTCTGAATGATAGCTTTGCTGGATAAAGTAGTCTTGGTTGTAGGTTCTTGGTATTCATCACTTTGAATATTTCTTGCCATTCCCTTCTGGCCTGCAAAGTTTCTGTTGAGAAATCAGCTGACAGTTGTATGGGTACTCCCTTGTAGGTAACTGACTTTTTTTCTCTTGCTGCTTTTAAGATTCTCTCTTTGTCTTTTGCTCTTGGCATTTTAATTAATGAGGGGTCTTTGGGGGGGGCCCTCTTTTGGATTCCCTTTTTGTTTGGGGGTTCCCCTGGCCCTTCCCCGGGACTTGGGAAGTCTATTTCCTTTCCCCCAGGGAGGGGAAAGTTT